TGATAATGGAAGTGACAGAGGTGCAGCTGGAAATTGGCTCTTAATATTTTATGTGTTAAAGCTGAGGATTGGAAATCTCACACTGCTCTTCTGGGAAAATGAAGTGTGTGCGCGTCCTGTGCGTCCCTTCTCCCACCCTCCCCCTTCCATCCAGCGCATCTGCCGGGCACATCGGCTCATTCGGAGTGAGATATTCCTATTCTTTCCATAGCAAAGTCTTAGTGTGTGCCCAGTCGTTTCCCCCTGCAGATGAGTCTCACCATGACAGATTCATGTGCCAGGCACTGATACTGTTTAATGCCACCGGTTGGCCGACGCTGTCCTGGGCCCTAAATTCAGCTTAGTGTTGTGGGTTGCCTTACTCAGCGCTGAGCCGTGTTCCTGAAGTCCTGCCCAAAGCTGGAAGTGTTTAAATGTTAATGCGGGCCACCATTTGTACTCGTCACTGCAGCGGTGGCCTGTGAGTTGTGTAGATAATATATTAGATGAGGATTATATGAGTTCTGGTCATAGTTCTGCAGAGGCTTCAGTGGAGACTCATGATTTCTACGTGGCTCAGTTCTTCATTTTTTAATGGGAAGTAAGCACACTTTCTCCCCGGATTTCCTGTGATTTAACTGTTCATAATATGGGGATTGCCATTACGACAAGGGAAACGCGTTGAAAAATCCAGCACTAGCCCTTGCTTTATACACTGCTCTCGAAAGAGCGTCAGTGCAGAGGAGGTTGTCCATGGTTTTATAGCGTTATGAACTAATTTCACAGAGCTGTAACCCACAGCCACCCACCGCACTCACATCCCCTGTCCCTCGTCTCAGCAGAGCTGAATTAAGTTGCACGGATCACCATTAGATGTAGCTGGCTGGGCTGCAGGAGCGCCAGTTTGGAGAGGGGCGAACTGCCAGGATAATAAACATCCTTCCCTCGGTGGCTCCCACTTGACTGTTGTGAAAGTTATAGAGGTTTTTTAATTAAAATTTGTTATTATTGAAATGAGCAACCCTGCGTGCCATATGAAAGTTCATCCTTTCCCTGCTATTTGTATTCTGCGTTTTTGCTTGTTCTCTCTTAACTAAAGAACTAAAGAATTGCCCCATTAAGATTTAATTGACTTCACACATGCACACCCACACCCCCAAAATCCTAGCTACGACCAAGGAGCCAATGATTCCGGTAATCCTGGGAACGTTTTATTTCATATAAAACAAACAAAAAACAAGCCAGATTCAGATTTTGCTACTTAACAGCCATGTTTGTGAACAATTTCTGTATCTTGTGCCA